CAGAGGAATGTTGCCCAAATGATTGTTGATGAATATCAAGCCACAACCTTGACAAACTCCGAAGAAGCTGAAGGAAATGGAGGAGGAAAAAAATTGAAAAGTGAAAGGAAACAAAATAAACAATTCACAGAAACAAAGAAAATACAATTTCAAGGCAGGGAAAACAGTGAACAATTGAGCTGGACCAAAACAACTAAGAGAAAACATTAAACAAAACAGTCCCACCTTCTCAATCAGGACAGCTAATTTAATTACACAAATATAAAAAAAAAAAGAAAAACAAATTGCAATTTCAAAAAGAAACCACCATCTATAAATTTATTAGTCAACAATATTAAAATGCTAGGTATACTAGCCTCACAATAACATTTAAAATAAATACCTTTGAGACTTTAGCTGATCACACACCATTAAAGGGCTACAATCATCACCATATACTTCCTAGAAAAGAAAGGACTCTTTTAACACTCTTGTATAAAAGGGTGTCAGCTTAGTGTGTACACGGGTATACTGTTCATTGTTTTATACCATAAAAACGCCCTACCATAGATTGTCAATGCTCCCGTGCAGTATGCTATGCTGCTCGTTCAGAGTCTGATACTCCTCCAGCCCAAGATAACCAACATGAGAATTGAAGACATCTAAAAAACACTAAAAGTGCAATTACATGATTACACACCACTGACATCATCTCATACCGTTTACACGATTGTAAATCACTGGCTTTTGACCAGCGACGCATAAGCCAGCACTAATTTAAATACCTCACAAATCTAATCATACAAATGACCAACAAATTAAATGTTAACATGTTCTTCCAGCAACAGACAACCACCTGCGCGCCAAACAATTGAAACGCAACTCATCTACTGATCGGAAGTGTGTATTTAAAGGGAAATCCTGCATACCATCATAGGTACAACAGCGCCTCCTAGCGGCTTGGCTACATACACCCCTGCTTTTTAATGATCACCGTCCCGGTGAGCAACCTAATGTAGCTCACTACTGCCAAGGTCTAAAAAGGGTAGTAATACCACTAACCTCCGCTATACTAATAGACCCATTTTGTGCTATGGACTGAGGAAGGTGAAAAGGATTTGGGTGTTGGCCTGCTGTCCTACGAGTAGAACGCCTAACAGGGGGAGTAGTCACTTCTGACTGGCCAACTGGCTGGTCTAAGAGAGGCTCTATATTAGTAACCAACCCCAACTCCTGTTCTTGTGTAAACCCTTGGGATTGCCCACCCGTGGGCTCGCTCATATGGCCCATGGGAGGACAATTGCTTGTTATCCCCGCCAAACTAACCCCATGGCTGGTAACTCCAGGACTAGAATCAGCTTGGGCACCTACCTCGGTATGAACCACAACTATGTGTGGCTGGATTCCCACTTCTGAATCCTCAGACCTCAGTTCCCTACCCGGATTAAGGGAGATACCTGAATCACTTCTAATGGGTTGACCAAGACTATCTGTACCCTGAGAGCCAACTTAAGGTGCGAACGATGAACAACCTTAATAGGGCCATCTTTTCCCTGGGGTCTTATCTTATACAACGTCCCCACTTGATTGGTACATGTCACAACTTCAAACAACAAATAACTCCAAACATCCTGGATCTTGTGGTGGCCATGAAAATGGTTTCTACAATATACTAACGTGCCAGAGGACAGTATAGGAGTTACCTCAAAGAAACCAACCCTACGGCGCTCTGCCGCACTCTCCAAGTGTTTTAGAGCACTGGTATAAACAGAAGTCAAGTGCTCTTGATGCTTCTCCAGCACTGCAATTGACTGAGGAACCTTAATACCTGATAATACAACTGCAGATTGATCAGAATGCGAAGGGAGCCTAGAAAGTGCATATGCATTTCGATTTGCAGCTCCTGGTCGATATCTAATCTCGTAGTTAAATAAAGCCAGTTGGGAAACCCAACGCTGTTCAACTGCCCCCAAATTCGCCGACTCAAGATAGCGCAGTGGATTGTTATCAGTATAAACAGTGACCTTATTACCAAGAAGATATTCTCTAAAGTTCTCTGTCATGGCCCATTTCAGGGCCAAGAGCTCCAGCTTCATTGCACTATAGTTAGTCATGTTCCTCTCACTTAGTCGAAGCCCGCGACTAGCGAAAGCAATTGGTCTCCGCAGCCCCCCATGTTCTTGTGATAACACTGCCCCCAAACATAAATGGCTCGTGTCAGTCTCTAAAATAAAAGGGCACGAGAAGTCTGCATACCCTAAAACAGGAGCCTGAATGTCTTTTAAGTCATTAAATGCTTTCTCACAGCTATCTTCCCAATGTTGTTCAAAAGAACCCTGCTTAACCCTCTGGGGTCGACTAACGCGGATACGCGTTTTGTGGCATCTTCTCCTGATAACACCGAAAAGAACTTAAATTACACTTTCAGTTTTGATCTTACAGATTAGAGCAATACATCAATCGAATCTGTAAATGGTCTACTTTTATTTGTATACACACATAACAAGATCTGTGGTACGCTCCACACCTTGGTGACCGTGGTTATCATGGAGGCTTGTAAGCACCTCAACCTGAAGGCCCTTAGGCAGCAACAATTGCCACACCAACTCTCTAGAAGGAGGTATTTGCACGGTCCTATACAGAACTCCATCCACCTCCCGTACTCGGGGCCACTGTTTTACCAACTGTTGAACTTCTCTTGACATGTTCTTCAATTCAGCAACTGTTGGTTGCTGCCCCTGCACCCAAAATTGTTGAAAGGCCTGGATACATGGGTCCGCGGCCTGCAAAGCTCTCAAGTCTGCCTTACTATGAACCAGAACAGCGTCCACTGTTAACGATTCCACCACCTGGGGGCCCAACCCAGGTGGTTTCTCCAGCACTGCAATTGACTGAGGAACCGTAATACCTGATAATACAACTGCAGATTGATCAGAATGCGAAGGGAGCCTAGAAAGTGCATCTGCATTTCGATTTGCAGCACCTGGTCGATACCTAATCTCATAGTTAAATAAAGCCAGTTGGGAAACCCAACGCTGTTCAACTGCCCCCAAATTCGCCGACTCAAGATAGCGCAGTGGATTGTTATCAGTATAAACAGTGACCTTATTACCAAGAAGATATTCTCTAAACTTCTCTGTCATTGCCCATTTCAGGGCCAAAAGCTCCAGCTTCATTGCACTATAGTTAGTCATGTTCCTCTCACTTAGTCGAAACCCGCGACTAGCAAAAGCAATTGGTCTCCGCAGCCCCCCATGTTCTTGTGATAACACTGCCCCCAAACCTAAATGGCTCGCATCAGTCTCTAAAATAAAAGTACGCGAGAAATCTGCATACCCTAAAACAGGAGCCTGAATGAGCTGCTCTTTTAAGTCATTAAATGCTGTCTCACAGCTATCATCCCAATGTTGTTCAAAAGAACCCTGCTTAGTGGTTGCACACCGCTTCCGAGTGCCCTGTAAATTCCCAACTAATTTATGCAGGGGGGCTGCTAGTCTAGCAAAACCCTCAACAAACCGACGATAGTATGATGCAAATTCAAGAAATGACCGCAGCTCTCTAACAGAGTTAGGCCTGCCCCATTCAGCAACAACACGGATCTTTTCTGGGTCAGTTGCCACCCCGGCTGCTGATATCACATGGCCAAGGTATGTCACCTCTGTTTGGAAAAAGTGATATTTCTTCAGTTTTACTTTCAAGTTGTGGGTTTTGAGCACAGAAGGAGCTGGTGGCAAGAAAGATCCTGAAACAGCTTGAGGAACAGAGGACTCTAAATGCTTAAGAATAGTATCTAGCTGAGCCTGCTGTTTACGAAGACTTTCTTTGACTTCAGTCAACTCATCTGAGGGCTTATTTAGGATAGCATTAGACTGTGCTGAGAGGTCGGTAACATTAGTAATGCTACAAGACTGGGCACGAGGTCACTGCATACAGGGATTTTCACCTTCTACCTAACGCAAGGCTTCCTGTCTGGCATCTAGGAAACTAAGATTAGGATCTAGTCTAACATGTCACCGTAATTCACGTCGAAGCATCCCATCTCTCACAAACTCTATAAACTGATCTCGTAGCACAGTGTCAGGATTTGCAAAGCACGCTGGATCTTTACGTTTAATCACATCCATAAAGGACATGAGAGCATGAGAATACTCTCTCATTGACTCACCTTCAAGTTGTCATCGCTGGAAGAACTGCTTCTGAAGACTAATATAAGACTGAGAGCACCCATAAACGCTAATAAGTATATTAAATATCTTCTCAGGGTCATCTAGTTCAAAGACTGGGCGAAACCTAACCTGTGTCCTAGCTTCACCATCCAGCAAATCAAAAATTGCCAAAGCCTGCTCAGCACATGACATTGGACGCATAAGGGAACCCTGCCGACTACACCAAATGTGGTATAACAGAGAGCAAGTACTCCTATATTCTTGACTACGCCACTCCAATTTTATTTGGGTAGGAGATCCCAGGTCATGTAAGGGGTTTTCCCACACGGCTATTCAAATAAAAGAATATCCTTAAGACAGAATTACTATAAAACGCAGTTTCGATTTTATTAATCAAGTAGTTTCACTTCCAAGCTGGCTAATTTTACTCATGCAAGATGGAGACACAAATAACTGCAAAGGATAATATCACTATCAAAGAAAATAATGAAATTAAAACCAAAATAATTGATTAATACAATAAACCAAAAAAACTAACGTCAATTCTCATACATAGCACCTCAAAGCATGAAATACAAAAGAACCACAGCACACATGTGAATGATGGTGAATATACTTCCTCCCTATATAGTTACAATGAGTAAACTGCCAGTAATGGCCTCGTTGGCATGTAAAATAAACGGACCAAACGATAACCAATAGTCATGGGCCAAAAAGTAAAAGGAAACAAAATAAACAATTCACAGAAACAAAGAAAATACAATTTCAAGGCAGGGAAAACAGTGAACAATTGAGCTGGACCAAAACAACTAAGAGAAAACATTAAACAAAACAGTCCCACCTTCTCAATCAGGACAGCTAATTTAATTACACAAATATTAAAAAAAAAGAAAAACAAATTGCAATTTCAAAAAGAAACCACCATCTATAAATTTATTAGTCAACAATATTAAAATGCTAGGTATACTAGCCTCACAATAACATTTAAAATAAATACCTTTGAGACTTTAGCTGATCACACACCATTAAAGGGCTACAATCATCACCATATACTTCCTAGAACAGAAAGGACTCTTTTAACACTCTTGTATAAAAGGGTGTCAGCTTAGTGTGTACACAGGTATACTGTTCATCGTTTTATACCATAAAACGCCCTACCATAGATTGTCAATGCTCCCGTGCAGTATGCTATGCTGCTCGTTCAGCGTCTGATACTCCTCCAGCCCAAGATAACCAACATGAGAATTTAAGACATCTAAAAATCACTTAAAAGAGCAATTACATGATTACACACCACTGACATCATCTCATACCTTTTACACGATCGTAAATCACTGGCTTTTGATCAGCGACGCATAAGCCAGCACTAATTTAAATACCTCACAAATCTAATCATACAAATGACCAACAAATTAAACGTTAACACTCTTCAAAACGGATAACATTCAATAAAAAGACCTACCAGAGATTGTTCTTCCAGCAACAGACAACCACCTGCGCGCCAAACAATTGAAACGCAACTCATCTACTGATCGGAAGTGCGTATTTAAAGGGAACTCCTGCATACCATCATAGGTACAACAGCGCCTCCTAGTGGCTTGGCTACATATGTATTGCAGTTATTTTAGAATTGTGGTGAATCATGCAATCAGCTATCACATTGTTTTGTGGTTTTTATGGTTAATTGTTAAATTATTGTTGAACTGTTGTTTTATTTCAATAACATTGTTTAACTTTGTATGTAAAGTTGAGGCAAACAATTTAATAATTGGTAATGACAATAATTATTGGTAACTGCATTTTTATCAAGTATATAACAATACAACTATATAACTTATCCAACCTCTGTAACATTTGGTATTACATGGCTTTGTAAAATGCACCATTGACATTGAATTCATCAGCTTGCATTACCATATGTACACATAGGAGGTAGTTGAGTAGGTAAATTGGTATAAGATATTATTTTATTTTATCATATCTTATTTTGTTTTATTTTCATTGTTAGAGCTACCAAATCTGATTAATGAAGTAAAGATGGCCCTGAAGTCTCAGTGTTCATCAACAACATCAGTCAGCTCTGACTTGGAAAGTGGACAGGGTTTGCCACAGAGTATTACACAGCCCTCCACCCACCGAAAGCAGTATCCACAGAACAGGTAGTGTACTATTTAATTAATCAATTAATACTGCACTTTTCAATTAACCATTTGGTAATCAGTATCTATATAAAACTATTGCATCCCTTTGCAGCACTGCATAATAAATTGTTTTCGTACTCTTCCTAAAACAGGTGGAAATTTCTCCTGGATCTAATGTATTCGTTGATAGACTGGCATGGGCTGTGGCCCAGAATGCGAACTCCGCCTCCTGTTTTGTGAGAACACTCCTGACAGCAGTGTTCCCAATTGATGTGCTCATTGTGAGCAATCTTCGAGGAACATCCAGGGATTCTGGGCCACAACGTCAGGCTCTTGACAAAATGAAAGTGGATGCTATCTACAGTAAGTTTCAAATCAGTTCAGAAAATTGTAATTATGTAGATTGAATATCTTGGATACATATTATATTACAGCACTATGGGGTATATTATTAATATTATTATTATTATATCCAAAGTGATCCACTGGAAGTAAGTTTATGCCAAGTGTCTTGTTCAGGGCCAAAATAGTGAATGAATTAATGAATGAGGCATTTATATAGCGCTTTAGTGGCAATCTCTATCAAACTCACAACTTTCTGGGGTTCCATTTGGAAGCCCAGATCCCTAAACACTAGACCACCCACCATCCCCATGCTGCTGTTGAGTTGTCTAACTTGATATGTAGTCATTAACTGTGGGCCACCTTGCTTCCTAACAAGAGCAATGTTTTGCCTTTTATTCATTTATCTCACAGGAGCGACATTGCAAAAGTGGCCTCATGTGGTGCCCTCCAGCATTGGTGCAGCCATCAATGCCAAACTTACTGAAATTAGAGGAAAGAAGAAAACACAAAAACATCCGGAAACCTTAATGCTCTTTGATGATTGATGGCCATGACAATGTGTGTTCACTGTTCAAGATATTTTGTTGTTGCTTTTTTGTGTGTTTTGTTATTTTCTTGAGCAAAGTTCTGTTTGCTATCAAGCTGCAGAAGCTTGGAGTCTTAGAAGACGGCCGCAAAAGTGGATGCAGAACCAACTCCAGATGCATTAACTGCATTTGGGAACCAGGTTGTATTGGAAATGAGGCTAATTCAAAACCCTGGATATTTAGCAAGATTGAAAAAGAGCATAATGATTATGATCTATGACACTCAAGGAGACTGAAATGAACAGATATTTATCTTCACATGCACAACCCACACCATCCACATTTCAACCCGTCATTTCAGCTCCCACACCGGCACAGTCTCATCCTCATTACATATCAGCTCAGAGTCCTCATAAAACCTTTTTGCAGACAATGCAAAAATCATGACCACTATGAAAGCTTGTGAATAGCTTACATTGTTACAGTATTTATGTTTAGATATTTATATGTAAATTGTTTTTTTGATTTTTCCATTTCTGCACTGTTGCGCTTGTAAACACATTTAAACACACAGTGCCAGTGGCTACATTTACACTGTCAGTTCCCTTTCAGTCGGTCACTTTCGACGTCACATCGATGACCGATGAATTGGGAATCTCACTAGAGTGTAGCGTCTGCTTAGGATCATTGAGGGTCATGGGGGCTTTATGTCTCAGAGACCCTTTCAGCCTTTTGACATTTGCATATAAATTACAGTCCTGGCCCCAGATTCTACATTTATATGAGTGCTAAATTGCCAATGGTTCCCCCCATTATCAATTAGAGGCTAACCAGATCAACTCTCTGGTCTCCCCATCGACTTCAACCACATTCCAATGTCCTAAAAGACAGTCATCCACAGTACCTGGCACCAGATGTCTGATAGCCAGCAAACTACCCCCATGCTCGCAATACACATAACACCCACACATAAAGACATTTTCTTTATTTAGACTATAATTAATCAGTTACAATTGTATCTGGTATATGCATGTGTTGTTTGTATGTTTCCCTATTAAAACTGCACCAATCCTCCAGACCAGCAATAAACATGCAAATGGGCCATAAACAGAGACAAAGAAAGTGTAGCGTCTGCATAGAATCATGCATGATCTTTGGGTAAAAATCTAAATATTTATTATTAATCATAACCAGTTATAATTAGTCATAAATATTTCCCTTTTGAGCTGAAAAACCCTACAAAAGGTTCTCCCGCTCAAAATCCATGCCTCTGATTGGCCATCCCACCCAAAAGGTGGTTGTGGATAGGAACTTTCAAAAGTCATTAGCTAAGACTAATCTTGGCTCAAAACCTTTCTTCTTGAGACGGACACTATCCAAGACTCCTCAAAACTCTCCTCTTTTTTATCTTCAAGTAACTTTGTCGATCCGCTGTGGACTTTCCTATCTTCAGAAGAAACAGAGGAAAACTTCCAGCGCACTTCTAAAATAACTCATCAAGAGCCTCCGTTGTCTACCGCATCAGGATTCTTGTTCAGCAACAAAGCCAATGCAAGTAAACGTTTACAACTATTTAGATGCGTGTTTAAGTTTGAGCCCCTTTTAAGGTGATTTTTGATTCGATGATGATTCTCATTAGGTTGTGGTTAATTGATGTGAAATACTGCTATTCTTTTGCTCTTCTCTCTTTCCTTACTTTCCTTCATTCTGTATATATGTGTTTTGCTTAGTTTAGTTGTACATTAGCTATAGTTTCATTTATTAAATCCCTTATATTCCCAATTGATTGTCTCTGTGTGCTGCTCACGATTCGAAGTCACTGAATGTTTGGTCCCTTGCTACATGCTAAATTACTGCTAGCACTGCATAAAGAAGGAAAGCTACTTTC